CGTTTTGGTCCAGTGTATCAAGCTCCCTCGATCGCAACTTCCCAAAACGTACGGTGGGAGAACTTCTCTAAGAGAGAGGGCAGCTCGCGTCTGCGCTTCCTATCTCTGACTCAAAACGATGCGCGTACGGTTCACTCGTTTCGCTTGGGCCAGAGACAAAGTCGCGCGTCCTCTCGCAAGTTTCCCTATATCTCAAGGAATTCTCTTAAAATAAAATTAAAATAAAATTACTCAGCCTTTCCTAATTACTAATTTACTAAATTTACTTAACTTCTAATTAAAACTAAAATTATAACTAAGTCATAATGTATGGTATTATTAGATTATAAAATGTTATATATTAAACTATATATATAATACATAGCATAAAATATACATATTAAAATATAACCTAATAACCCTTCATCATTACACGCTAAAATACATTTAAAATTGTTAATTACTAATATTACTTCGAAAAACGCTTGATTTAAACAACTTACTGCGAAAGAATGTCTAAAAAGAAAACTAAAAAAAATGGTATTACAATTTTCCTTTAAGATAGTAACATTGGTTCGGCCAAGACAATACGGGAACGAAAAATAATGTTTTGTTTTTTCTCCTACCATTTAGTGACCGGTATCAACCCCCTTCTTGGAAAGACATTTAGTTACGAATTAAAGAGTTGTTCGAAGCAGACTAGTAGTTATGAAGTTACAGATTTTATTTCAACGAAGGAAGTTCGACGGTATAACTTCTTTGTAGATGTCCTCTTCCTGGTCGTTGGTTGTTGGCGAGTTGGACACGTGAGCTTTTCCAGCCACATGTGTCATTGTTGTTGTTTTATCCAAGGGTCCTCTGGTGGTGATTTTTGAAGCGCTGGTAGTGTGAACTGTTCCGAGTTAACGTTTTGTCTTTGTCACTTCGTCCGAAGTGACGATATCTCGCAGTAATCCTTGAATATTTCGAGGTCCTTACGTCGGCCGAGGCAAGGAGCGGCTTGCTGAGAAACTCGAGTGAAAAGGTGCAGCACGAGTTTCGGCATCGAAATATCGGGATTAGCTGAAGATGGTGAACTAAACCAGTATGGATTTAAGTGTATACAACTTCATGATAAGACAATTTCTCGGAATTGTCAATCAACTGGTTAAGTTCGTTCAACGATTTATTATTGGTATTATTCCAGGAGGAATAAAGTCCCTTAGAGAGAACCTATTGGGTCTGGATATCTTAAATGAGAGTGTTTTTTGGTACAAGAAACGACTTGATAATATGTAGAAAATGCTAATCTTAACCCTTTGCGGCATAGTGGTAACCCAGATTACCACCTTTTATATTGTGAAAATATCTGTTTATATACAGTCTTGTTCAAATAAAATTCAAAAATCTTTGTTTATTAATAATCAAAACATTGTTAAATGTCGAAAAATTGATAGCGAATGAGGTTACGTGAAATTATAAACAACTATAAATAAATAAATTAAAGAACAAAAAAATTTTTTTTTAAATTCAATCGACATTGATTGAAAGTCTTCACTCGGGGGTTTTTGGGGTCGCTGATTATGAATCTAAAGTCCGTTTCCCAAAATTCAAGATGGCGGATCCAATATGGCGGACGAATTTTTTTAGAATTGATCGAAATCGCTTGAAAGTCGTTACTCGGGGGTTTTCGGGGTCGCTGATTACGAATCTGAAATTACTTTCAATGAATAAACGTTAAATTATTAAATAATTGTACCGTCGGCATTTGCGTTACCTGATGTACACCGCGGGGAGGTTGCACGATCGGGATTTGTACATCGTTTAGCCCTGAAAAGGGCAGTTTGGTAAATACTGTTCAAAACTTTATAATAATCAAATTGAGCTGTTTATTTCCTAATAAAATTAATTAATTAATTAAAATCAGCGGATTTTAATTGCTATTATAAAGTTTTGATGTGTCTTGCTTTGAACAATTGAATTTTATTTTCAGCAGTGGTAAGCAGCGAAGCAATTCGCTTTCAGTAAAATTCATTTGCTTGAGTCCGGTTAGTATTTTAGTTTCTTTGAACTTTTAACAGTGTTTTGTTTATTGTTTGTTATAATCAACGTAAATATGCGTTTAGTCAAATATTGCTGATTTATAACTTGTCTTTTTTGCGCTTGTCATTTGTTTCGTCAAACTATGGATAGTATTTTGTTTATTGTTTGTTACCATCACCGTAGGTATGCGGTCAGGCAAATAATGCTGAATTAGAACTTGTCTTTTTTACGCTACGTTTAGTAGATGCATTGGTAGGACACAAACTACCAAGTTCAACTAGGAAGAAACGTAAATTAAGTACAATCTCTTCTTACAAACCAAAAGTGTCAGAGGAAAAAAGAAAAAGTCAATCAGCTCATATGCCTAAAACTATGGCTTGACCTAGACGCTGTGCTCATTGCAGTACTAAAGCCGACCAAAAGCGAACATCATGGATGTGTAAAACTTGCAATGTACCACTCTGCCTGTTTCCCACAAGAAATTGCTTCGTTGCTTACCACTGCTGAAAAAAAATTCACTTGTTCAAAGCAAAAGACATCAAAAACTTTATAATAGCAATTAAAATCCGCTAATTTTAATTAATTAGTTAATTTTATTAGGAAATAAACAGCTCAATTTGATTATTATAAAGTTTTAAACAGTATTTACCAAACTGCCCTTTTCAGGGCTAAACGATGTACAAATCCCGACCGTGCAACCTCCCCGCGGTGTACATCGGGTAACGAAAATGCCGACGGTACAATAATTCAATAATTTAACGTTTATTTATTGAAAGTAATTTCAGATTCGTAATCAGCGACCCCGAAAACCTCCGAGTAACGACATTCAAGCGATTTCGATCAATTCTAAAAAAATTCGTCCGCCATATTGGATCCACCATTTTGAATTTTGGAAAACGGACTTCAGGTTCGTAATCAGCGACCCCGAAAACCCCCGAGTAACTATTTTTAAGCGATTTCGATCAATTCTAAAAAAATTCGTCCGCCATATTGGATCCGCCATCTTGAATTTTGAAAAACGGACTTCAGGTTCGTAATCAGCGACCCTGAAAACCCCCGAGTAACGATTTTTAAGCGATTTCGATTAATTCTAAAAAAATGTGTCCGCCATATTGGATCCGCCATCTTGAATTTTGGAAAACGGACTTCAGATTCGTAATCAGCGACCCTAAAAACCCTCATAAGCATTTGTGATTTTTAAATTAATGTTATAATGTTATGCATGCCGCAAAGGGTTAAACTTATTTTTTATGACGTGCGTAAGGACGAGCGTCGCGATATTTCGCGGTTTTACGAGAACGCAAGCGATATTGCAGTTCGACGTGTGGAGTATCGTCGAGTTGTTCTTGCTGACGCGAGGTAGCAGGAATCTCCATATCAATTTGCTCAGCAAGTAGAATCGTGGTTGGTTGCGTAATGTCAGGGATTGAATTGTTGAGAATAGTCGGAGATGTAAGTCTGAGAGGGAAGTTGACTTGAGCGTGTACCGCCTCATTTGTAAATAACTCTTCGAAGTTATCAGTCATCTTCTCGTCTTCATCGAACGTTGTTCTAGTTGGAGTGGGATCCCCTGATGGTGAAGGTACTTCTTGAACTACTGGATCGCGTTGCAGGATAGGAGCTAATATCACGTCCGTAACATAGACTTTGTGGGGCCCATCTTCTTTTTGGATCCAAAGTACACCAGGGGACACGATTTCTAAAACTGGATAAGGCCCGGTCCGAATAGGCGCCAATCTGGCATTGTACCGTTCGGCGGCATTTGAAAGGCGTGTATTTTTTGCTAGAACCAAATCTCCAAATTTGAAAGGGGGTTCGTTTGGTGGACCCGCGTAGCGTCGTTGGTATTGCGTTTGGTGCTGGTAGGCCTTATTCTCGCGATGTTGAAATTCTTCATCCTGTTTTGGTTCTAGATCCATAGGTAAATCCCATTCTCCGGGACGTCGGATTTCTCGCCCGAACATTAAATTTGCTGGAGTAAAGCCTGTGGCGGCATTTCGGCGCCGTCGAAGACCAAAGAGTAGTTGTGGTAACTTTTGGTCCCATATTCGCTGATTTCAATCATGGAGACGGAGTCGAACACCTTTCTTCACCTCTTGGTTACGTCGTTCCGTAGGGTTTCCTTGGGGATGGTATTCTGGTGTAGTCCACAAGGTACAAGCCCATTGTTCACCAGATTTGGCCCACAAATTACTTCGGAACTGAGGGCCGTTATCACTTAAGATTTTTCGTGGATATCCGTAACGGGAGAAAACTTCTTCCTCGAGAATTCTGATGATAGTTGAAGAGTGAGAATTTCTTATCGGAAAGGCTTCAACCCATCGGGTAAAAAGGTCTATGAATACCAGGATAAAGCGGTTACCTTTAGTGGTTAGGGGTTATGGTCCCATTAAGTCTAGGGCAATTGTTTCCCATGCTGAATGAGGTTTTCTGGGCTTTAGACCGACGTGGTTCCGGTGATGTATCGGTTTTGAGCAGAGGCACAAATGACAACTGGCCACGTAGGAGCGGATGTCGCGAACCATTTTCGGCCAAAAGAAATGTTCACTTATACTGCGGAAAGTTTCTTCCGCACCGGGATGCCCAGCTAAAGGGACATCGTGGTATTCCCATTATACTCGTTCTTTCATTGTGGTAGGAACACGTAATTGCCATCGCTCGTTGTATGGGCAAAACTTCCAGAATCCACCCTCGTCGAGGAAGTTGTTTTCATAGAAACATGATTCTCTCCAGATCTGATTCTCCAGGGGCTCCTTCCATTGGATCAGGAACGGAGGATAGGGCATTAGGTAATCCTCGATCAATTTTCGGTGCGTGCTTTACAGTTAATTTAAACTCGTTAATCAAGATGTGCCAACTTGTTAACTTGGTCCGAGTACCTTTTAGTTTGTCCAACCAGGCTAGGGCTTTTTTATCTGCTCGGAGGACAAACGGGCGTTCTTCTAAATACGGACGGTATTTTTTAAAGGCCCAGACGATAGTCAGACAGGTTTGTTCGTCTAAAGGATAACGGGTTTCCACGGGTTGAAACTTTGCACTACCGTACGAGATGATCCAGTTTGAGTTTCTTGGAACAGGACAGCTCCCATACCAAGTGAACCTGTTTCAATCTGGAGTACGTAGGGGAGTTGTGAGTCAGGACGACTTAAGGCTGGAGGTTCTTTAAAGGCTTCTTTGACTGTTTCAAAAGCCTCCTGATGCACTTCCGTCCATTTGTAGGGCTTTTTTACGGACAACAGGTTCGTCAGAGGGGCCGTTAATTCTGAGTAATGGTGCACGTACTCCATTAGCCAATTACACGTCCCTAAGAAGGAAGCTAGTTGTTTCCGGTTTCTTGGAGGTGAAGCATTTTGAATAGCTTCGATGTGTTTTGGTTGTGCCTCGTTTCCGTTTGCCGAAACGACATGACCGAGATACGGAAGTCTGGTGTGTCCAAAATGACATTTGGCGGGGCTGCATGTGAGACCAAAGATTTGGATCCTTTCGAGAACTTTGGCTAAATGTACCAGGTGTTCCTCCCACGAATGTGAGAATATGATGATATCATCCAGATACGCTATACAAAACTCCCCCCAGAATGAGGCGAGTACTTGACGCATCAAATTTTAGAAGGTGCCTGGTGCGTTTTTTAAGCCGAAGGGCATCCTCTTGAATTGGTATTGGCCTCCATCAGGCGTTGAAAAAGCGGTATACTTTCTCGACTTTGGGGACATGGGGATTTGCCAATAGCCATTTTTAAAATCCATTGTTGAGAAAATCGTAGCGGTCCCTACGGTTTTGAGGACGTCGTGGATTCGGGGCTAACACTGTGGTGCGTCCTCAGTCTGTCCGTTGACGGGACAATAGTCGACACAGAAACGGAAACCCCCTCCAGGTTTATCAGCAACAACGATAGCCAAACTGAAATCAGCTGTAGCAGGTTCGATGACAATCATTTCGATGTTCATGATGAACATCGTGATCTTTGAGCCATGCTCTACCAAGGACGATATCAGCTCGCAAATCGCGACAAGCTTGGAAAACACGTGGGTAAACTGGGTCTCCGATGAGGGGACAGAGGGTCAGCGAGCCTTGTAGTTGTATCGTGGCTCCACTAGCGGCAAGTTTCGCCTGTGTAGGTCCTGATTGAAGGAGGGAACTTTCGTGAGCAGTGAGGACTGCTAATCGTACGAAGTTGTGAGTGGCGTAGGAGTCAATTTCTGCCACGATTTCTCAGGTACCAATACGGACTCGAGCACGAGGCAGATCCTGGGCTGAAGAATAAATGGCGCTTAAGACTGGGAGTTCCTGACGGGGTTGAGAACGTTGAGTTTGGAGTACGGGACAGTCCCGATGAAAGTGCATCTCGGGACAGAAGTGACAAGGGGGCGGTGATCTTTGTTGACGAGGGTTAATTGGTTCCGAAACTGATTTCTTTGGAGGTTCTTCTTTAGTAGGAACCGATTTTCGGGGAGCACAATCGGCTTCGTCTTGTACAGCTTTAGAGGACACTTCTAAGAGTTCCGTGACTGTTCTCGGTTTTGAAAGTCTAACGAGTTTGCGCAAGCTAGGCTTTAAGGATTTTAGCAGCAAGGTAGTAAGGTCTGCGGGATCAAATTGAGAATTTAATCGTCTCGCTAACAAGATTTTTCGCTGGAGAAAGATAGCGACAGGTTCTCTCTCTCCCTGTTTTTGCGAATACAGAGATTCATGTACTCGCATTACTGCAGTGCTACTGGCATATTTGCTCAACAGCAAAGACTCGAATTCTCCCCACGGCAGTGAGAGATCTTTGTACAATGCCCACCATTTCTGGGCATCCCCCTTCAGTCCCTTATTTACGAGCTGCGTTCGTTTGTCTGGATCCGTGCGAGCGTTACAGAAATATTTCTCACAAGCTTGCAGAAATTTTTGTGGATCTTCATAGTCCTGACCGTTAAATTCGGGAAAGGGGGGAGCGGAAGCCTGGATGGCTCTAATGAGTCCCATCCAATCTTCTGCCGTTAAAGTCGACGGCATGGCTAACGGAAGAGACGGTGGAGGGGCGAACGAGGAGCTCTCTGATGATCCCAAACCGCCAGGTATCGGGATGAGAGAACCAAGAAGGTTGAGAGGCGGTGCTGTCTCCCCCGATGTAGAAGGTGGAGAGGAGGTGATAGGCGGACCGGAAGTCGCCATGTTTAAGATGAAGCTGTTTGAAGGACTGGGCGCCACCGGGTTTTCTTGACCACTCCCGGAAGTGTTTCTTGAAGGGGAAGTCGTGATAGTTTCTTGAGGGCTTCCCCCTTGAAGTGGAGATACTCTAATCGAAGATGACGACGCAGAAAGATCGCTACGTACACTTTGGTTAGTCGTAGGAGGACTGTGTTGAATTGGAGGACCGAAGGGCGGATTGAAAGGAGGTATTTCGATCTTCGTGAGATCATCTAGCCCCTTGGCGATAGATTCTCGTCAGCTTGGACGAGCTCCTGAGCTCAGACGCTGCTCTGAAGCGTGTCTGATGAGTGGCGGCGAGCGAAAAAGTCCGTTCGCTTGACGACTTGGTAAGTTCCTCAAGGTCCTCTTTTCTGGATCAGAGGTTATGGGCGTTGTTGGTTAGCTCGGCTAGGAGAAGGAGACATCAGGTGTGTGAATTCGTTCTGACATCCATCAGAACCAAAAGCTAGAAAAGCAATGTCGGGCCCCACGTTGGGCGCCAGTTGATACCAGTCAAATTGTAGGGGGGAGATTAACTGGCTCAGAAATGGACAATTGAGATTATCGGTAAACAAAGGTTCGATGAGTTGAAAAGAGAGTTACGAATAAGCGCTTAATTGATCTACTTGATAACGGAGTGATGTCGAGAGGATAACCAGCTCGACGTTGATTGTTGTTGTGTTGAGAGGATATCCAACTCGAAGCGTAGTGTAGTAAGCCCAAGAGGATAACCAACTTGGCTGATGCGTGTGAATATCGAGAGGACAACCAGCTCGATGCCAATTGTCGTTATGTTGAGAGGATAACCAACTCAACTTACAGTATAATATATCCGAGAGGATTACCCACTCGGTTAGTATGTGTGGATATTGAGAGGATAACCAACTCAACGTACGATGTAGTGTGTCCGAGAGGATAACCAACTCGGTTGGTATGTGTGGATGTCGAGAGGATAACCAGCTCGATGTAAAATGTTGGTGTATTGAGAGGATAACCAACTCAACGTACGATGTAGTGTGTCCGAGAGGATAACCAACTCGGTTGGTATGTGTGGATGTCGAGAGGATAACCAGCTCGATGTAAAATGTTGGTGTATTGAGAGGATAACCAACTCAACGTACGATGTAGCGTGTCCGAGAGAATAGCCAACTCGGTTATTATGTGTGGATGTCGAGAGAATAACCAGCTCGATGTAAAGTGTTGGTGTATTGAGAGGATAACCAACTCAACGTACGATGTAGCGTGTCCGAGAGGATAGCCAACTCGGTTATTATGTGTGGATGTCGAGAGGATAACCAGCTCGATGTAAAGTGTTGGTGTATTGAGAGGATAACCAACTCAACGTACGATGTAGCGAGTCCGAGAGGATAGCCAACTCGGTTGTTATGTGTGGATGTTGAGAGGATAACCAGCTCGGTGTTACTCTAATATTGAGAGGATAACCAGCTCAATGTAATAAAGTGCACTGGTATTAAGAGGATATCCAACTCAATACTATGCTATGTTTAAAGACAGCAGGGGGTGTATGCAAATAAATGAATTGAATCGAGTCAAAAGCATGTAAAATTTCAAAGAGAGTTTATTTTAAAAGTACAAGTCAAGGAAAAAGTTTAAGTATCGAACCCCGGGAAAATATTCTAAGTTCCTAAGGACGAGAAAATATTCTGAGTCCAAATTTCTTCGAAAATTTTCTAAGTTCAATTTTGGGTGAAAATTTTTTAAGTACAAACTTCAGAATTTTAGTATAAGTATAATGTAGTGGTTAGGCTGAGCGGAGGAGGAAGACTAACCTCTAGGTGAGCTGAGGATAGAACTGACGTTTTGGTCCAGTGCATCGAGCTCCCTCGATCGCAACTTCCCAAAACGTACGGTGGGAGAACTTCTCTAAGAGAGAGGGCAGCTCGCGTCTGCGCTTCCTATCTCTGACTCAAAACGATGCGCGTACGGTTCACTCGTTTCGCTTGGGCCAGAGACAAAGTCGCGCGTCCTCTCGCAAGTTTCCCTATATCTCAAGGAATTCTCTTAAAATAAAATTAAAATAAAATTACTCAGCCTTTCCTAATTACTAATTTACTAAATTTACTTAACTTCTAATTAAAACTAAAATTATAACTAAGTCATAATGTATGGTATTATTAGATTATAAAATGTTATATATTAAACTTTATATATAATACATAGCATAAAATATACATATTAAAATATAACCTAATAACCCTTCATCATTATACGCTAAAATACATTTAAAATTGTTAATTACTAGTTTTACTTCGAAAAACGCTTGGTTTAAACAACTTACAGCGAAAGAATGTCTAAAAAGAAAACTAAAAAAAATGGTATTACAATTTTCCTTTAAGATAGTAACATTGGTTCGGCCAAGACAATACGGGAACGAAAAATAATGTTTTGTTTTTTCCCCTACCATTTAGTGACCGGTATCACAACTTGCCATCATAGATAGAAAAGTTTATCCTAATAATCTGATAATAATGTACCACTATTGGTCCGTGCTAAGTCCCGTTACCAGCAATGAGACGTTTTGTATGCTAGTATATAGGCCCAGTAATTTTTGACAGTTTTCTGCAGACATTCACTGAAAAAATTACATTCTAATTTTAAGAAAATCTTCTTAAATATGCGCCAAGAATATTCCCCCACTTAGATTATGTGGGAAATATTCTTATAATAAGAAGAAAATTAGTATTGTAAGAATATTTCCCACTTAATTTAAGTGGGGAATATTCTTGGCGCATATTTAAGAAGTTTTTCTTAAAATTAAAATGTAATTTTTTCGGTGTTGACGGGCCCGTTTTGCAGTCTTGGAATTTCACACTTGGAGCTTATAAAAAACCATTTATTAGCTTTTTTTCCGAGAAGCATCGCGTGGAGGTAACTACTATTAGTTGTTTTTGGCAAGTTTTTAAATCCCGTGCAGAAATTGCCCTAACAGGGCCCTGACCCCGCATGAAACCGGGAACCCGACCGGGACCCGACCTGGCAGCTCGTCAAATCAGGCTTCGCGCCATGGCGCCGGCCGGGTTCCTTGTTTCACCCAGGTCTGGACCCGGCCAGGCCCTTGTCAAAATTTATACTCGGGATTATTTTCCAGGCGCTTAGTAAAACTAAAAAAATTCTTGTTAATTAAGTTTAATAAAAGATATGAAACATTTTCATTTCAGTACTACTACATTATCTTGGATCATAATTTGTAAAAACAAAAACATCTTATTTAAACGTAATAAGTAGGTAAAATCAAAAAAATTAGATATTAATATTTTCAATTTTTATGGGTAAAAATATTTAAACTTTTAAATTTTAGATTTAAAATTCCTATTTTTTTATATTTTTATGATAAAATTGAAATTAAAATTATAAAGAAAACAAAATAATTAATTAATTAGAAAATATCAATACTAACTTAATG